AGGAATGACAAGGAATTTGGACTCAATAATATATATATATATTTTTTCCATTCATTTATTTACTTAACTTTTTTTTCAGAGGGAAAAAAAAAAAATGCTTTCCAGTGCAAAAGAAAACATCTGCTTATCATATATAAATAGCAAGTCATCTGCAGTCTATTCAAATGCTTGCTAATGTTTTTCTAAATCTCTTATTTACACCAGCAGTAAGCTTCATTATTCCTTAATCATCCAAATCTACCATACAATTAGTAATCATTACTGTACAATAGGGTAATGATCCATTTCTACCTTGTTCACTCATTTACAACAACCTTTGCCTTAGAGAGGGGAGAGGGAAAGGAAGAGGGGGAGGAGAGAGAGAGAAAGAGGAGAGAGAGAAAGAGGAGAGAGAGAAGAGAGAGAGAGAGAGAGAGAGAGAGAGAGAGAGAGAGAGAGAGAGAGAGAGAGAGAGAGAGAGAGAGAGAGAGAGAGAGAGAGAGAGAGAGAGAGAGAGAGAGAGAGAGAGAGAGAGAGAGAGAGAGAGAGAGAGAGAGAGAGAGAGAGAGAGAGAGAGAGAGAGAGAGAGAGAGAGAGAGAGAGAGAGAGAGAGAGAGAGAGAGAGAGAGGAGAGAGAGAGGAGAGAGAGAGGAGAGAGAGGAGAGAGAGAGGAGAGGAGAGAGAGGAGAGGAGAGAGAGGAGAGGAGAGAGAGGAGAGGAGAGAGAGGGGAGAGAGGGGAGAGAGGGGAGAGAGGGGAGAGACAGGAGAGAGAGAGGAGAGATAGGAGAGAGAGGAGAGAGGGAGGGAAAAGGAGAGAGGAGGGAAACGAAAAGGATGAGAGGAGGGAAAGGGAGAAAGAGGAGGGAGAGAGGTGGGAAAGGGAGAAGAGGAAGAGGGTGGAGAGGGAGGAGAGGGAGAGGGAGAGGGAGAGGGAGAGGGAGGAGAAGGAGAGAGAGAGAACATAGAGGAAAATAACTAACTATCAATCCCTATTTTACTTAATTTGCAAATCAACTTCATAAAATAAATATCATTTCTTCACACCTATGGATGAGATATTAAGGGGAGAAACCAAGAAAAGAAAAAAAAAAAAAAGAAGAAGAAAAGAAAAGAAAAGAAAAGAAAAGAAAAGAAAAGAAGAAGAAGAAAAAAAGGAAAAATGAAAAAAGAAAAAATGGCCATCAGCAACGCGGTGAGCTGCCGATATCTTCAGAGTACACGGTAGCTGTAGAAGTCCATGAGGGTGCCACACAAGTTCATCCCGAAGGCCAGACTCAGTAGGAAGAAGACCACCAGGAGAGGTAATGCATACAGGAATACTCTTGGCTGTTTCAAAATGGGTAGTGCTGTAAAAGAAATGTATTTATGTGGGGGATTACTCGGTCTTCCATCTTATACCAGTGATAAGTTATATATAATATCCAGTACAGAGATCATAACTATAGGTGACTGAAGGGTCTTGCAGATAGCAGAGAGAGATTTTTAATTCATAATAACATTGATATACAATAGCTACATATATATGCTTACCACTATAGCCTAGGAATGTAATGTAGATGTAGTAGCCAATAGCTAGAACCCACAAAAGATTTCCAAACAATCGTGAAATAAACCAGTCCTGGCTGATGAAAACTGTAATTAAGAAAAAAATACTATATTAACACAAAAATTTCCAACAGTTGCTTAAATTCTCAAGTAACACTTATTCATACAAGTACATTCCAAGTCCATCATATGACACATGGCATGTAAAATAGTGACACAAATGACACAAATATAAACAATGTCACAATGACATGCACACAAGAATTACCTCATCAAATTGAGGAAACTCAGACACTAATAGGTTGGAATAAAATAACAGCTATCAACAGTCAAACATAAGACTATGTGAATGAATACCATGATAGAAGAAAAGCTGAAAGAAATGCAGGATGATGAGTGGTGGGAAGAACGCGTTGAGGTGGACGTCAAACGCGTAGCCCCACTCCACGTCTTGGTCCCTGCAGGTTGGCTTCACTAAATAGTGATTGGTTACAGCCCTGTAATCACAAGAGTATACATTAGACAAATTTCTACAGATTTGGATGTTCAGGGAATTAAAAAAAAAATAATAGAGATTTTTAAAAAGGTCTTCTATTTCATTCAGCTTACCAAAGAATAGTGGCCACCAAAACACCCATCAGAAGGGTGTCTACACACACTGTGTACACTAAGAACCTCAGGAAGCTCCCCACACCCAGTTTCAATACCACGGCAAAGCCAGCAGAGGTTACTGCAATACAAAGAAAAGTCATTAGAATAAATATCATCATGAGCATAGATCACTACAAAATGTTGAAACAAATATTGAGAAAGTATAACAATTAGTCACTCATAATAGAGATCAGGAGATAACATTTCTATAACACATTTTCAGAATCAAACACGAAGTAAATGTGTGCACTTCCTGATTCTGTGTGGCGTTCACACACTCACACACTCAGACACTCATTCACACACACACATATATACATGTATGTGTATACATACATATACATTCACATATGTGTATACATACATATACATACACATATATATACATATACATATTCATATATATACATAAACATATATATATATATATATATATATATATATATATATATATATATATATATATATATATATATACACATACACACACACACACACAGACACAGACACAGACACACACACGCACATGCACACACACACACACATATATATATATATATATATATATATAAATAATATCATATGTATGTATGTGTGTGTGTATATATATATATATATATATATATATATATATATATATATATATATATATATATATATATATACACATATATATACATATACACATGCACATACACACAAACACACACACATGAGTACATATATGTATATGTATGTATATGTGTGTGTGTGTGTGTGTGTGTGTGTGTGTGTGTGTGTGTGTGTGTGTGTGTGTGTGTGTATGTGTGTGTGTGTGTGTGTGTGTGTGTGTGTGTGTGTGTGTGTGTGTGTGTGTGTGTGTGTGTGTGTGTGTGTGTGTGTGTGTGTGTATATGCATTTGTATATATATATATATATATATATATATATATATATATATATATATATATATATATATATATGTATATATATATATGTATATGTATATATATATATGTATTTGCATATATATGTAAATACATGTATTTGTATATATATGTCTATATGTATGTGTGTATATGTATAGGTATAAGTATGTGTATGTGTGTGTGTGTGAGCGAGAACGAGAACGAGAACGAGAACGAGAACGAGAACGAGAACGAGAATGAGAACGAGAGAGAGAGAGAGAGAGAGAGAGAGAGAGAGAGAGAGAGAGAGAGAGAGAGAGAGAGAGAGAGAGAGAGAGAGAGAGAGAGAGAGAGAGAGAGAGATAAGAACTAATCTAGACAAAGATAACACAACTCTCAATAAAAAAAAACAAGACAACGCTTATCACTTCCCCAAACCCAGATATCGATGGGTAGGACAAGGCCACCATTTACCCAGATAAGATAAGAAATAAAAATATGGCTCAATATAACAAAAAAAAAGATAAGATAAGATAAGATAAGATAAGATAAGATAAGATAAGAGAAGAGAAGAAAAGATAAGGCTGCCTATTCAATAATACACGCGGCAAGTACGACATTTTCAAAGCTTTGTTTCCTTAATAAAAAATAGTAGCCTTGATAGCGACTTTATGTTAAAGTAAGATTATTAAAGCTAAAAGATCTGTTCGATTTATTTCTGCGAATGAATAAATAAATAAATAAATAAATAAATAAATAAATAAATAAATAAACAAATAAAATAATAACGTAAACGAATCACAGTTGCCAGAACTGTCGTTCCTGCAAGAAAAAAAATGAAAGGAAAATAAACTATCCCCTCCGCAAAACTTAAAAAAAGAGAGAAAGAGAGCAATAAAACCGCTCCCAACAAACAACACACAAAAACAAAAGCAAAAACTAAAAGCGAAATATAACCCTTTCCGCCTTCCCCACCACGCGCATCTGGCAACACTGCTCCCCGATACCTAGATCACGGATACGCCAAAAACACACAGCACAGCCTCTTGGTGAGATTTTCTTTGATAATTTTTACTTTCCTATTTATTTTCCTATTTTCTAGCGTTAGGCCTTCGCTTTCCTTCACTTTAAAAGCGGTTGAAGGCCTTGACGACGTTTCCGGCTCCCCTTTTCACGCCGAAATACCAACTGCCTAATTTTCCTTCGTGTTTCAATTGGCTGCCACGTAACTTCTTCTTTTCCTTTACGGCCGTTTGGTCCCGCCTTGCAGGGTCAGCCGCCCGGGTCTTCCGTCTCCAAATCTCTCTTTCCAGGGCCTCTTCCGGCTCATATCCTCCTTCACGTTGTCTTGCCATCTCTTCTTTGGTCTTCCTCTCCATCTCTTCTTCCTGCTACTATACTTTCCAGAGCCACTTTTGCTGGTTGTCCTTCTCTCCTTTTCACATGTCCATACCATCTCGTTCTTATTTCCATTGGCTGCCACGTAAACTATTCCCATTTATTTCGCCAAACGCTTTTCTGCATTTCCATTATTATTTATTTATTTATTTTCTTTTAAGCTTTTCTGCATTTCCATTATTATTATTATTTATTTATTTTCTTTTAAGCTGCCATGATTTGACATTCCCTCTTCTCTGTATTCTGACATAAACCGTCCTTTTAAAACAACTCTATTTAACTTGTTTCTGCCTTAATTAATGACTATTAATGACAACATCGGGCCAATTTTCTGCCCTGGAAAACTGCTCCTTGCAAAATAAACACCATTAAGTTCCCCAACCATTAGTTCCTCAAGCCAAACTCTCTCCAATGGATCCCACGAAGGTTTCCGCGTTTCTCAAGTGCCGTCGGCCAATCTTCCTCATTCTATCGGGAAATATTCTGGGATCTACGTTCAAACCGATCTATTTGAGTAGCTATTCTCGAAACCTTAGTAGGGGCATTTCGTGCTCTCTCTCTTCTCCAAACTGGCATATCAACTACCGATTCACAGTGGGTATTCATTCAGTCCGTGGTTTCTGTCATTTATTCATTAAATTGCAGAAACCATTCATACTAGTTAAGACCCCAATTTCTATAGCCGTCACATTCCACACACACACAAGCACATGTGAAAGGACAGGAAAACCAACATTCCAAGAAGAAAAATAATGCAGAAGATGGGGGCCACAGTAGAGTAAAGTACCAAACTGTACAACCCAAAATTCCTTTGATGTATAGCTGTCGACTTCCCACTAACCTATCCTACCTTTCCTGGCCTCTCTCTCTCTCTCTCTCCCAATGCCCTAACGTTGTATCAGTATCATTTAAGGTGGTGTGCTTGGCTTCAACCATGCCTGCAAAGTATCAAAACGCTCACAGCTCTGCACTTTGGAATCATTTGAGCATGCAACCGGTGAACTGACTCCAGCGATAAGGAAAGGATAAGATACATGAAGTCTCTAGGGGGGATTAAGTAACCACTATCTTGAAGTTTACATTTACTATTATTATTGTTTTTTTTTATTATTTCAATGATCATTTACTTTACGGATTTTTTTTAAAACTGTATTTATTTGATTTTAAATATTCTTGTGGAAAAGCATGGTATGTGTCATATTACATGTAATCAATTCTACAGCATGAATAAAGAAGACTAACTTAGTCATATCAAGTTACTAGCTAAAAAGGAAGTGTAGTATGTATAATTACAAAATGCTTTGACTACTAGGATTCAAACCTTGTGAGCAGTAACTAGTTGCATAAGAAGAGGTGGTGTGAATTATACTATTTGCAATGCTGTGTCTGCAATATTGTTTTCATTACTATGGTCATAATCACATTTTTAAACATTGTACCTACTCAGTTTCTCTAACGCTGTTTATTATGAAAGACATATTTCAATTTTAATTTTCTTTAAATTGATCTACTGTTCATTTCTTTAAGCGGGCTGAAAAAGTTTTTCTTTTTTTCTTTAATATACAGTATAATGGGGACAACAGTTTCCATGTACAAAAGAAAAATATATGTGTACAAGAAAATAATATATACATGCAGTAGCTAATGATAACCATTAATATTCAAAGCTCCACAGCAGCAGGTCAGGTGCCAAGCTCACCTACACACCAAACCTACCACCCCAACCCTGCAGTGAGTATGAAGTGTTTCACTACAGTTTGATTATAACACTTAAGGACACTTACTCACCTTCTAACCATTTCTTTTCACATCATGAAGGTCTTAGAAATGTAACTCTAGTATCCTGATCATGACAAGAGAATTAATAATTTCACTGTTCCTAACAATAACCAAATGTACAACATAAATCTCTCTCTCTCTCACACACACACACACACACACACACACACACACACACACACACACACACACACACACACACACACACACACACACACACACACACACACAAAGAAAAAAGAGGTAATGATGAATGAAAATTTACAGAGGTATGCTTCAAGAAACCAAGAAGGATGCGATGGTGCAGGAGAGGTTCTTTACTAATCCTGCTGGGACTTTTGGTGGCAGGACTGGTGCTGATATGGGGTAAACCCTTCTGGCCTGTTTATTCGCCCAGGGGCACTACCACAACCCAACCAAATATTACTCTTTTCTTTGCAAAGTAAGTATCGTAAGGCTTGTTTGTTATCAAGAAATGTTGGTGACTAGAAGTGGCTCAAGTGTACACATACGAGAGTGAGAGAAAAACCTAGTAGTTTTCTATGACCTTTCCCTTCTGCAGCATAAGCAAGAGCTGATGTTTAAAATATTTTTTAGCATAGAGTGTAGAATATTTCCTTAGAAAGCCCAAATGATAAGCCAACTTCCAGCAATGATGCATCAAACTGACTAGCATTTTGCATGCCTGATTTCTGGTATGGAATGCCATAATTACTGCTTCCTTGTTCATAAAATAATGCTTATTGCAAATAATTTGCAGTATTCATCATCTGTGGGTTGAGCCTAATGAAGTACTGAAAACCTGCCAGAACAAGAAAGTAGATGTCTTGGTGATTGTACCAACATCAGCTGCAAACCAAGAGGCTCGGGAAGCAGTCAGAAAAAGCTGGAATGGCAATTTTCCAGCAAGCTGGCCTGTCATGTTTTATCTTGGAGCAACAAATAATCCTCAGTTACAGGTATATAGCATTTTAACTGGGAAGTATTGTGCAAACATTTCAAGTAAATAAAAACATTTTTGTAAATTACATAGCTTTCATTTGTTTGCTAGGAAGTGTAGTAAACAGTGGAAAAGTTTCCAGTCATTTGTATTATTGTTAAAATAAGGGCTGGGTATAAGTTATTCTGCTTTCTTTTACATAACTGGCTTGCATCACCAAACAAATACTTAGAATAACATTTCAGTTTTCTTTTTACTCTCTTCTCAAAATTTGATACAATAGTAAAATTAACATCACACTTTGCCAGACTATGATGTAA